GTCGTATAAATGCCTGCTTTGCATGACTAAATCAAAAGGATTCAACGACCAGTCGAAGTAATAGGCAGCCGTTGACGTGATGTGAATTCGGATTGATTGAATGCGTCAGGTTGATTACGGTAATAACAAGTTCGATGTTAATAACAGGACTGACACGCGCAAATTTTTTGCCTCTGGATTTTTCACGAACAAGCTGTAATCTGGAAGCTTTTGACTCCAGCGGAATGAACACGGATTCCTTCCTCGTTTCTTAGTCCATATTTTATCCGTAACAGTTATAGGTGATTAATCAAGGAGAAAATTAGAAAGCTTGAATACTGATTTACTATATTTATCAGGAAGATCAAAAAGAAACAAGTATAACAGGTTTCTTTCAAGAATATGATGATGCAAAGAAATTTTGAAAGTTACAAATTTTTAATTTATGAATTCTCAACGTTTCAAATTGAAAATTTTAGAACTTAGAAACGTAGAAAAGAAAAATTGAGAAAATACATATTTTTAGATTTTTAAATGTTCGAAACTACGAATTCGATTTCTCTCTGCTGTTTTTATCGCCAGTCAAAGAAAGACTACCGTGCGAATATACATGAATGTAGTTTGGGTTGCCTCTGTTTAGGAGTGTCTTACGTCAATACCTGTCACCTGCAGACTTTCCTCTCATTCAACGAAAACAATACAAATGCAAAAGCAGCTTTTTGGAAATAATAGACAATCTTATTACGAATTTGTAAACTGATCATTTCATGTTCTTGCCATATTTCATACACAGCCTATAATTTCTGAACAAAAATAATCACATATGTTTACAACCTTATGCTTCACATTCGTTTTATCTACAAGATTTTTGATTAAAGCATTGTCAATATAATTGTAACACTGTCTAAGTACTTTAGCACACTGAACTCATAGATGAAGGTAGTTGTAGAACACGTACTATAACTTTATAATGAAACTAATATTATAGATTATTAGTCAAAATGTATGACCGTTTCGAACGTTAGTCGATAGTTCGACTGCTTGATAACACGATTATGCGTACGTGAGTGGCTACACAATAGTTGCCAATTCCATTAACTGAATCCGTACAAATGCTTCTCTATCACGATTCAGAAACAAGTGGTCCAGTATGGAAACTGTTCGACCGCGAATTGGAACTTCGTTTTAAAGATCTCGCTATCTGTAACTACATTCTTTAACGATAACGCTAGTATGATTACCGTTCGTTTCAACGCAGAGCTGTACGATAAACCTAATTTTACCTTTCAAAAGAGAAACATAAGTAAAAAGTTTGAAATAGTTTGTAACGGTTTACCGAGCTACTCGGTTAAAAGCAGCATCGATATTTATCGACCGACAGCTAAACATAGAATGTAATAACTACTCGTACCAATTAGATATCGAGGAGATGAAAAAATTCGAAATTTTCATATAAAATTCTTGGTATGCATGTTTGAGTGCAATGTAGGTCCTTACATCTAAATTTCCATTAAGTCAAAGTTTCTTCTAGGTGTAAGTTTTTGGCACTTTTAGGATTTTTCTAGGTCTAGATCTAACAATAGGTATTCCTTAAATTTAAGTTTTGAAGTCTAGGTTTAAGTTTTCTTCAGGTTTAGCTTTTCTCCTAAATCTAGGATTTTCCTAGGTTCAAATTTAGGTTCCATATTAGCTAAGTCTTCCCCCTAACTCTAGACCTAGGTTTTCAATCAATTCGAGTTTAGATGTGTTAAGTTTAGTTTTAGGTCTCTTCTTAGATCGACATTTTCTTTAGAATTTCTCAATATTTAGTTCTAGGTTTTCTTCTAGGTCTAGAATGTTTCTGAGTTCAGATCTTTCCCCTAGGTTTAGTTTTGACTCAGACCAAGGTCCATATTTGACACAGACCTATATCCAGATTTCACTCAAGTCCACACTACAATTTCTCCGGGTTTACCTACAAATTTTTTCCATGAATTTTAGATTTACCCAAATCTAAATCTTCCTCCATATTTAAACTTTCTTCACATGTAAATTTCCGCTAGATCAGCCCAAAATGTAATAGGAAAACCTTACCCTTAGAAAGTGTACGTTACACCGTAGGTCCTCGATTTACCTACGTGTCGTGAAACTTTAAATCGTGCTACCAATCTGAAGTGGAAACTTTATCGAAAAAGGAAATGAATTTACATTTCGTGCTAAAACTCATTGTAAAGAAGAACGTAAAAGTTTTAAGTGGCTCCGTTAAGGGGATACATACGGGGTAGGTCATACCGTGCTCTGTATTCTCATCGGAATAACATGCATAGAGCAAACTGCAAGTAGGTACTATCTTCGCTGATAAATTCCGAAACTGCGGTCCTTAGTACATCCACTTGGTATATATGCTGCAACAGCTTTTCCGGTCCCAAACGCAGTGGCACGCCTTCGACATATCGGTCACGTACGCCATCGTGTAGAATCGCATTCGTAAGACCCAGCTACGTTATCGTCGAGTAAACATCGATAGGAAAGCATTGTCATAATACACATGGTGGTACAGTTACGCGCTTCGAGTCTGCATCTGGTGTAAACCGTGCCGATCGTTGTACGGTATCTCTTTACCTTTGTTGGTAGACCACCTTATCGCGTAGGTTTAGTCTCTTTTCATCGATTTTATACCGTGATAATTTCTCGCAGACCTCTACATTCTTTTAGTTTCAGGATCATAAAGTCGTTGCTTCGATCACGATTAATCATTTGCGACCGCGATATCTTAAATGACGCAGGGAAAACGTATGTGGGCACGCTATAATTATAATTATTCAACGTTCGATCGTCCTATTTTTCTGTTTGAACTTTCCACCTGTTATATATCTTGTGAAATTAATATTGTATCCATATTGTTATACTTTCGTAATATTTTATCATTCAGTCCTTTAATTTTTCTTTACATTATAATCTACATTATAACCATCATGACCGTACACTGCGAGATCAACTTTTTATTTGCTGACTTCACTTTTCAGTGCCTTAAAAATATGTTGCTGTTTACAATTTTTTTCAATTTTGTTGTAGTTAAGATTTTACTAAATTACCGCTATAATATATCTAGTATACAGTGTTAACACGTTTTCATGTAATTTTTTCATTTACGATGTTATCGAAATTAATACGCTTTGTTTCTTCCGATTATCGGATTATATTAAATTTGCGGTGTTGGTTATCGATAACCTGTACGTTCATGGCACTTGCGTTGTAAACCTATTTGTAATCAGAGACCAACGTTCGCTGAACCTACATACGTACACCTGTGCTCGGTTCTACTTACTCTGATAAATCTTTAACTTCTTTTTTTAGATTATTATAGCTACCTCTCGGACTATCGGTGAGCCATGAACCATGAAGTAATTTCTTAAATCTTAATTCACTGTGATTAATACCTTTTCCTGTTTTGCGAGTACGAAACATTTACCGTAACATTTGTAATTAGTGTGATAATAACGGGAAATTATATAGAGATTAGCCGTGTACGGTTTAATGTACAAAATCTGATGAAAATTAGATATGTACAAAAACATTTTATTTCTGTAAAATATTGACTTTCACGAAGATACAGTTAAAGTACCATTTCTTGTATATGTATGTAAATCGAAAGGTACGAAATATTTAATAAAAATTCGAATGGTAGATAAGGTTTAAGGAAATCAGTTCTATTAGTCATAGTTCTAATAAAATTACATCATGGTTCAATTAGTTTATTCGTATCTTATATACATTTGAATACAAGAAATAATTAATACGTTAGATTTGTGCTTCTTTCTTTTTTTAGAATATTACTGTCTCCAACTATGCATACGGAATACAAATTACACTGTCGATAGAAGGGTCAATGAAAGTATGACACCGATGCATCTATGGAAAACTATAGTAGATGCATATCTGCAAACGACCTACTTATGCAACTTGCAATATTGAAATGCCTGTTAACAATCATTTTACAATACATCAAGTATGCTTATATGAAAAATTTAATTAATACTACCGTATCCAGCGCCTATCGTGACGATTTATCCCAACCTCGAACTGACCTAATGATGACCTAATCTAAACTTGATAAAACAGCTATCGAACCCATGACCTAACTTAACCTGACTAAAGAGATCTAACTTTATGTTGACATCATGCAATTTCGCTGTAATCTCGTGTTGTTATAATCAACTGCATTAACACGGATACACACATTTGTCCTTTATCATACTTTCGAATGTACGAGCTTGCTTTAAATCAAATTTTAATTAGATGTTTCATATTCTATATTCAGTACAACAGGTCCGACAATTATCACGATAAATTCTCACTGGACATTAATAACTAGAATCAATGAATTCTGCAAACAATGGTTTTGTTTAAGAACATTTTCAACATTATCGTTAAGACGTTCTTTGGATTGTAGCGGTATAATTAAAATTATTATTACAATAACAATAATAACAATGCGGCATTGTTCAATGCTCATAAAACGGTAGGTTATTGAATCGTGCTTGCGAACCTTTATTTCTTTGAATCAAGTTTTCACTTGCGCGGTGTAAGAAACGCACGTCCGTTAACTACGCAACTGTGAAAGGATTAGTTCTTTCGCTATACCAACAAAAACCGTGCAATTATTTACCCGTTATACGCAAAACCAGTTTATGCCAACCTTTCACGAACAAGAAATTGCTACCAAAGAAAGTACGTAGCTTTTAAATTAGACCGATCGTAAGACGGCGCGCAACGGTAAGAGAAGAGAATGAACCCGTGTGCCGCTTGTTTGCCTTTGTAAATCCATTTTTCAAACAGAAAAATCGTGAATGTAATCGTTACAGAAACTAAACACATAATAAAGGATATGTATAATACAGTAAATATCGGTGAAGTGCGTGTGTATATACGTGGGTTAGACACGAAAGTAGGTACACGACAGACGATGTCAAACGGAGCTATCGGGGGATCGAGGTGTTCGGGCGATCTCGGCTCTCGCCGATGTCTCACGAAGCGGACCGAAAGCAAAGCGCGCGGCAGACGGTCTTCGCGCGCCGAGCTATCTGGTTGGCACTCGCGTCGAGTCGGGCACTTTATATTCGAATTGACGTCGCACGTCTTTCGTATCTCGTTTGATCCTCGTGTTTCACGTTGACCACGTTCGCGTCAGTTTCGTTGACGAGTTTTGTGCTCTGTTCGGTTGAAACGCGCGATTCAAAAATCGCAGTTAGTTCGTTCCCTGAAGGAAGTTAGACAGTGATTTTTTTGTGATGTGCATGGAATCAAGTCACCTCAAGATGACGATCGCCTGGGTCTGCCTCGTCGCCTTGTTTTGTTCGACGGCTGTTAAAGGTGAGTCAAAATATTACGTGCGAACTTTTATTTCGTTATCGTTCTTGTGAGAACTACGGGAATTGTGCGTCGCAAGACGTGACGTAAGTAGGTGTAACAGTTTTTTTTCGTGGTTGCTCTGTGCAACGTACCCTCGATCGATCTATCGACGAGTTTCGGTTCGCGCGTGAAAAATGGAGTATTAATGGCGGGAACAATACTCGTCAAATGTACACCGCTTAAATCAAATAGACAACTAAATATTAATACATATAATTAATATAATTGTAACACATAAAATATTAATATTATTCCCGACTTTTTAAAATAAAAACAAAGTTTATACGAATAAAATATAACTTTATATCCTTGAACTGTAGACATGGAAGGTCGTGGTGTATGTCGGAGAAACTTTTATACGTATTTTCTCCAAAGGTTTTATACAGAAAAATTAATTTAGTGAAGTGTGAAGTTAGAACAATTTTAACAGGCAAGTTAGATACATCTGATCTGTGATTTCGTGATTGTGCAGACGATATTTAACAAATTGTATTGTTGTATTGACCTTGGTCTTCCGGAACACCTGTGAATATTTTTCTAATTACAAAATTACAAAAACTTTAAATAAAAATTCTCTTGTACATATAATTACACATAAATACATCCACATAATTATTTTAATTTCGCATATATTGTTCCTTAATGACAGCAATTAATTTTTAATAGCACAAAGTTGTGCATTGTCTACACCTGTGCATTTTACATTACATTTTTCTGAACATGTTAGTTATTTATACAAGTTTGACATAATTCGTTTAAAATTATACAAAATGTCACGTTTTTGCACTTTAAGAGCTCTCCTGAAAGCTATTGTTTTGGAGTTAATCGTTGCTGCGTTGTAGCCGTTGATATAGTACGTTGTACGGTGTCGCGAAATATTATGCAATAATGTAACTTTTACGCTTAGTTCTTTTATGGTCGGCGTGGAAAGACGTAACGAATCGATTATGTGTCGAACCAATTGTAGGAAATAGGTAGCCATAGGTAGCCAACTGTGATAAATTGATGTATAACCATACATGATTTAATGACGATTTCATCGATGATAAACGTATCTGATTTTCATTTAAATCACTGTCGATTAGTCAAGATTCAAGTGGACCCTCAATGCGACAATCCTTAAATACCTAATTCTGTTATCTGGCCTACATTCATTTTTCAATGTAAACACGAGTTACCTGGTATATACATCAACAAAGATTAAAGTAGAATACGAGACAGAAGAGAAATACGAGACACCAAAATTTTGATTTGTACATCAGTATTCACATGATTGACTACGACTGACAATCAGAGCTATTGATTTTTTAGAATGTAATCAATCAAACAATGTGTCGTATTTACTTTGATGAAAAACAAATTTTCTCTTTCAATAAAATACGAGCTCGAATAAACATTTTTGCTCCAAAGGATTACAAATATTGATTAAAAATTTATGATTGCCATTTTTTATTTCTGTAGTGAATTTATTACAAGTGGCTAGCCTAATTACAAGCGGTATTTATTGAAAATTACGAATCTATAAGCGTTCATTGGCTCGTCGCGCAAGATGACCGCAATAATTCGTACAATCATTGTTAAGGTTAAACGATGCACGCTGAGATCACGGTCGTATTAATGGAAAAGCAAACGTGAATGAAAGCATTAGAATAGCTTCTATCTGATTCGAAGAATCAGAGCTATCGAAGAGCCACGTTTAAGAACTTTCGTCGCCTTCTTCCTCGTAAATTTGACTCGTTCCTAACAGATAAACTTATCTATGGATTATTTTCTAAAATAAATATCGCGATAGTACCATTCAGGGATAGAAAGCAGGAGATTGGGAAATTGGAGATTCGAAGAAATTATTGAGCACTTATCTGACTCGGGAAACGTTCCGCGTGAATTATGATATCACGATAATAGAAGATTTATCATCTCGTTGCTCCACTTTTACACGTTACGTTACTCGCGATAATGCAACCTCACAATGTGATCGTACCTTTTATTATTAACAATAGAGTTGACGTGTTTTACATCATGTACCTCCGTATGAGCAGGAACAATAGCACGGTGTTACCATTTGTTTGTTGTTGCCGTAGGAAACCTCCCCTTCTATTGACTGCAATTTTCTCTCGTAACTCTCATACTGTCTCCATTCGCTTTGTCGGTTTTCGTGACATTACCATTCGGTTGCTATTTACTTCTCCATTCGTCTATACGTTTCACAGCTTCGATCGATGCACGATTACGGAGTATCAAATATTCAAGCACAACGATTGTCGTCGATATGCTTTTTCTGATGCTACACTGAAATATTAATCACGTTGATTGGCGGAGACTTTGCACGGTATGTACGTAATTTCGAGTTCTTTAACTTTATTAACTACCGCTGGAAAGTTCAGGGGTGTTCAAATAGAATCACTTCGAGTATTTCGAAAAATGATGACATTGACGATGTCAGAAAGTTTTATTCATTTAATTACATTATTTCTTTATTTACATCTGTGGGCTGTCAGTAAATTGCACTTACGTGTACTGATAAGTAATCAGTTCTTATCAAGTTTTCATATTGATAGTTTACATTTTTTGTGAAAAACAAGTTTGAAATTTTTAGTGCACCATTTTAATTAGTGACAGTGAATTATAATTAACTAAAGATTGTCATCTTAATGCTGTAACATGCTATGATCTCTTGTTATCCATCCAAAAAATGAATTTTGACAAGTAATTCCAATTGAAAATTTGTAACTGATGTAAAAGAGTTTGTTACCCTAGTTAGGATGTCGATGTTAAGGTTTAGGGCATTTTTCGACGATGGTTTCTAAATTTTGTAGTGGATGGTATCTTGTTTGAATTCGATTACCATGCAAAACAGACCACCCCATTTTGGTCCCTTCGTTGTATTATTTTTCTCAGCTACGATATAAAGTAAAACGAAACGGATACTTTTCCTGGAAGTGGGTATAAAACGAGGCGGGCCTTTGGTATTTATCGATCTAGCTTTATGAATAACGTCTAGCATTGAGCAATACCTTTTGTTGTTTCTTATAATAAAACTCGGATAGTGCTGCTGCTTATTGCACGAGTTCTCTCGTTTCTTTCTTACATAACTTAAAGATAATTTTAATAGATCCTTTAATTCTTGCATGTACTTTATTGCTTCGATTTCGTCTTTACGTAAACCGAAAGTTAAGTGCATTCAACCTGTTTGATGCTTCGGAATCAATTAGTCAATAACCGTAGTAACAATGATCAGAACGGCGAAACTCGTGTACTAATTAATGCTTCGTTATACAATTACCTCTGTAAACTTTATTATCGATTGGAACGAGGAAGTTGAGATTTCGCGTGACGAATTTGTTTAACGCGCTCTAAGATGGCGTGCATTTGGAGAACGTTGCAGCTCGAGGCCTTAGATTGTTAACATTTCATAACTCTCAGTATTTATTGATTAAATAGATTATATATTCAGTACATTTTTATCGAATTGTTACGTAGAATGGACTGATGACTTGCTACCGTGTTTACGTTTAAGAAAAACTGAGATGACCTTCGAAATGTAGGTTGATAGAATAATAGAAGTAGAATAGAACAGTCTTCATTGAAGAAATTTTTCTGTAACACCAGTAACCTTTAATATCGGTATTTAAGATCGTAGTAAATAGTTATTCACATGTTGATCATCCATTGATCGAAAATTGGCTGTATCGGAAATCAAGGTCGTAATTGATGTCGATGGATCACTGTACGTAATCTTCGGCCACGTGCATGGCATCGTGAACTACAGGGGATACGCCCCGTGTACCAGGAAAGTTTAAGGTCGTATTAACACGAAATGCCTTTCGCTTTATGCGACTTGCAGTTAACTCGTGCTTACCTTGAGCCGTAAAGAAAGGTCGATGCAAATGGCGCAATCGAAATCGCTAAACATAGTACAGGGCGGTAATTCATTTTCCCATTTAAATATTACGTAACGTGTTCAACCTAGTTTGGAATTTTCTTAAAAATTTATGGAGACAGCATAGTATAAAATAAATTAACAAGAATAGATTAGTCTACTATTTATATAAATCATAACCACAATAAATGAAACGTACTCAAATAAGATACGCGATAAACATCGACATTTTGTTTTATGGTGATCGTAAAAATAGATCCTTCCAAAAATTGGTATTTAGCTATCTGGCACATAGCTGTATTTATAATCGCGTTTCCAGCAATTAACGGCTTGTGACTTCATCGCTTATCAAGTTGTTCAAATATTTTAACAGCTTTGGATTATGTAAATTGGAGTCTCGGTACAAACATTCTTGGACAATGTTTATGTAGCAGCTTTCTTTCAGAATTTTCCTTGCGGTCTTATTATTCTTTCATTGCAGGTACTTGTTCTCGGAACACGCTTTATGACACCTGTGTAGCTCGTTCTTCTGTTTCACAAGATATTTGTTTACTCATTTAAGAAGTACAAGGAGACGACTTAATAATTAACTGATTTAATGTGATCGATCAGTCAATTCCATTATAAACATTGTTCGATTACAAAATGTGTTAATATCTTTTAAATATAATAAAATTTTCTTTAAGTACAATGAAAGATTCCTTAAAAATTTTGTTGAAGCACAATGAAAGGTTATTAGAAAATTTCCACACGTTTGAATAAAATAGTGAAGAAGTAATGATAAATTTTCTCCGCGTACGTTTGAAATATTTGGTAAAACTGCTAAAAGCACATCAGTTACGTCGAGAGTAATCGCATTGGCGGTGTGATCATGATTCTTGTACGGCACCGGCACATCCTTTTACAAGAAGAATGCGGCGCGATTCTAAAGATTCGGTGAGTCAACGTTGATCGATGAATACGAGTCATCGGTCCAAGGATAAGGTCTGCTGCATTTATCTTTTGCAGCGAACATGGCATTACCGTACGTCCGCACGGAATACGTTGGCTATACGTGTACAGGTCGTTTCAGGGTCTAGAT